ACTTTAATAGATCTGTGATTATTTACATTAGCTTAGGAACTGAGGGTGCCAATACATGTACATTAAGGCTGCTCCAATGCGCTGTAATTACAGTGTGTCAGAGCAGACTTAATTTATTGAGTCTCCTGGAGCATGGTAATTACCACGCTCCAGCAGACTCCAGCATCATGTGTATCAGTGTCCCCACACTGAAAAATGGCAATGGAGACACTTTAACTAAAGTTTCTTCAATGAGCTTTAGTTGAAGCGCCCCCACTACCATTTTTCAGTGCAGGGACACTGATACACGTTATGCTTTGGTTGGCTTAAATAGAGCAACTCTCACAGCTGTTCTTATTAAAGTAAAGCCCCTCCCCACCCGCCACCTTCCAGAGAGTGTGTATAAATGCCCTGAGTCTTTAAGTTTTGAACTGTTGTAAGGTTCTTTATGTACATGGAACTCCCATTTATACTGATAGAAATTCTGCGTAGGTTTGCAATGAGATTTCCAGAGACGTGTACTACAATATATTAAGGTTTGATTTTGTTTCTTGTTTATTCCTAAAAATTAAATTTCTCGGTGAAATTCCCATTCTCACTAAACTACATTTATAATACAGTAATAGGCATTGGATCAAGTCATAATGAGATTAACAGGCATGGAGTCCTATTCCATAGTGGGGGAGAGGAGGGAGCGTTATTGATAACTGCTTTCACAGTTATGCTCCTTATGTAAGATTTTATTTGGGGAAGAAATTGTTGTATTATAGTTCTATTATTTTAATAACCAGCATGCCATTAATGTGCATGCAGATGAAGTACCCAGGGTTCTGTAACCTTTCATTTTCTAAGCCACGTGACTTGCAATATGAAGGAATTGCGAGAATGTTAAACTCGCTGCGGCTGTCCTGTTGCTGTCCTGTTGCTGTTTCATTAGCAAGGTTTTGAAATACATTGTATAGATAAGATAAATATTGCTAGGTTTTCTATTTTCTAAAATCTTCAAAGAAGTTGCATGTTGTCTAATTCAAATGTTGATTAATGTGCCAGAATTCTGTATTGTAAATAAAAATAAAACAATATTTTACCCTACTAAAATTACTTACCCAGGTCCCAAAATAGCAGTAAGAGGGAGCATCTACATGAGATACTTAATGTGCAATAGACTAATTCTACTGTGCATTAGCGCATCATCGCAAAAGCTCTGCAAATGTACAGAATTAGTCTACTGTGCTTTAAGCATCATGAAAACACTAGGGCTAGGGACAGACATTCAAAAAACCTGACCTGAACTGATTCAGTCTTTCCAGGTTAGTCTAGCCTGGCTAGGCTGAACAGGTTTGTAGCCAGACAGACATTCTCTCTGGACTGAGGAAATTCAGGCACATGCCTGCAGTGGCTTAGGCTAAAAGATGGGGGGGCGCACTAGAACAGCCCTCCCTTCCCTTGCAGAGTGCTGAGCTGAGGGGGGGCGTGGCCAGGCCCCAGCAGGACACTTTGATTAGGGGCATCTGCCTGCACCATCCCAGGCTTATCCCCACTGGCTGCTCAAGGGGTGGGAATGTTGCCAGACCCCAGCCCCCTGCTTGCGCTCTGAGGCAAGGGTAGGTGTGCAGTGTATGCATCTGCTGATGATACGGAGCTTTTCAGTCTCCCTCCTTGCTTATTTATACTGTCTGCATCAAACTGACAGGCAAGCAAGCCAGCAGGGAGCTGCTAAGAGTGTTTATCACCCCATCAGCAAAACAATAGCCTCTCTCCATTAGTTCAAACTCTTCTTAAACAGCTGACCTGTTGATTAGTTCCAAAAAGCCCTAAGCAGTCACTTTTCTGTCTGCTTGTCCCAGTGAAATTGGAGACACACACACACAAACACCTCCTGGCATTAGCTAGCATACCACATGCCTAGGGTCTGTGGGGCTGGGGTCCATACTATGAGAGATGGGAGGATTCCTGCTTGTGCAGTGACGAGTGAGTGGGGTGGGCAGGGGAGGGCAGGGGGAAGCCTGGCAGACCTTGCTGTACCTGCGGTCTCTGCTGCAGCTCCAGCCAGAGGGCAGAGGAGAGGGTGCAGCCCTGCTGTGGAGCAGAGAGCCCTGCCCAGCCCAGAGAGCATGCCAGGATGCTGGGGGTGTCTCGTTTATCTTAAACCAGCAAGGGGTCTGGGGCAGACATTGCATAAACCAGTTTGACCCAAATTAGTTAAGTCTGATACTACATTCAACCAGGTTTATTTCAAACCAGTTTCAGCCATTTTCAAATGGTTTCTTTGTGCACTAAACATCTGTTCAGTTACAGGTTTAAACCAGTTTCTAATCACATAAACCAGTTTATGTATAATGTCTGTCCCTAGCCTGTGTACTTGCTCTATTGTACAGTAGTGGTGGCTACTGCACATTTAGTTAGTACCTTGTATTAGAGGTACTAAACTTAATGCACAGTAGCAATAGCATTTAATGCATGTGTAGATGCACCCAGGGTGTTGAAGAACATTTCTGAATATAGTATTTTTCTCACCACAGCTAATTGTTCAGGGACCTGCTCCTGCATACATATACTACCAAAAAGACTACTGCAAGTAGTAGTCCCATTCAAACTTTTAGCCATGTGCTCAGTGGTATGGACAGGATCAAGCACATATTAAAGGAGCAAGAATAATATTTTTATACCAGAAGTTCTTACACTAGGAATGAGTCAGTGTCTCACAGTTCTGATCTGCATATAAAATCATGTAGTTTTGATCTACATACAAAAGGGGGAGTTGGGGTATAGTACAGAGAGAGGGGGCTGGCAGTGCAGATCCAACCCAGAGCTTAATCTGAACACCCACAAAGTTTAGAGGCACTTTTATATAAAATTTAGGGGAAGATTCTATCAAATTTATGTCCAATGTCACCAAGCGTGAAAAGAAAATATATGGATGAATATTCTATTAACTCAAAACCTTTTCTATCGTATAAGATAAATAGTTGCTTTTTTACTAAGGAAAGCAAAATTACTAAAAATTATAGGGCAGTTGTTGCTGCTAATACAATACCACAGTTCCCACATTAAAAATACATAGCTTACATCCGGTTTTTTAGCTTATTTCCACTGCTTTTCACTTTGTAAAGTGATCCATTAAAATACAAATTAAGTTTCAAAGTATGACATCAACAAATTTTAGAAAAGGCAGAATGTGCAGAACGGGTCAGATAATACATCCCAAAGTAGCAGACATGGGACTTCTGCTAGAATGTATTTAGGAATCTGTTTTTGGAGAACTGTCCCTTTGAAACTAGCACATTCCTAAGCAGTTGCTTCTTTCAGTTTTCAAAGAGATGAAAATATATTCAAACTATGAATTATATAACTTACCTCTTACAATCCAGGTGCATCCCTAAATGCATGGGAGAGAATTAATCCTTTTCTGCATTTAGTTGTAGTGTTCTTATTGTGCACTCTTTCTATCTCTGCTATGATTCTATAACTTAACCAAAGCACCCTGTTAATGTCATGATGGCATGCTCTTGGCATCAGAAGGCTGCTGCAGATAGAGTAGGAAAGTGCCTTAGTAGTTATATAGCATGCTGTATTTATCTCTGACCTTCTTTTTAACCCCTCTGTTCTCATTTCCCTTTTTCTTTCTGTTTCAATTATTTTGAGCAGCCTCAAGAAAAAATTACCAATCCACCAAAATGAGTAAGTCCCCCGTGAAGTCATGAAATGCTTGCTTTTAAACAATGTCATTTCATGCTTCTTCATCTTAAACTCTGACCATTTTCTCCATTGGGGAAAATGTCAAGTTTAGGTGTCAATACCACTCATTACTAACTAGCCATTGGTATCTGAAAAAGAAATAATTATTAATATATTCTGACTCCGTGTACAGCGATTGCTTTCAGAAAGTACCAGAATCATTATCATTTCCAGTTCTAAGGCATTTGTTCATGAACTGCTTGTATGTTTGTCTGTTTAATTATACTGTTTGGGGGACGGGGGGAGTTCCTGGTGCCATTACTATTCAATTTGTTGACATACTGATATTTATCAACAGACTGGTACACCAAGATGGGAGTCTGCCTGACATAACCATGATGAGTTTAACTGCTGGCAATGAAAAGGAAGAGGATAAAAATCTGGAAGAGCATGGAGACAAAAGCACAGAAAAAAGCAGTGAGGAGGGAAGGGAAGGTGAAGATGAAAAGGAAAAAGACAAAGAGAAAGAGGAAGATGAAGATGAGGATGATGATTCAGAAGCAGAAGAAACTACAGGTAGACTATGAAGACAGTTAATTTTATGAGCTTTTCCAACTGTATATCAACTTTATTGATAAGCCTGACTTGCTTTAAGTTATGTGTTTCCCTTTTAATTTTGACTAGACTCTTTGCCAAAATATCTGAGTTGAGCAGATGGCTACTTGTTAATTATTCAACAGGCTGCAGTCACTTGAAGTGAGAGCAGCTACTCTTACCTACCTCCTATGCTTACAAAATGAAAAAACCTACTGGTAGAGAATCCTTTAAATAGCCAAGGAAGGTTGAATGGGCAAGTCCCTACAAATTATAGGAAAGCCAGCTTTGAGTGAATTCTCTAAGCAATAACACTTTCAGTTATTTTTTTCTTTTGTCCTGTATGCTTTTAAGATAATTCATTTCCAAATGTCCCCACTTCATTATTCATGAGCAGCATGAGTGTCAAATTTTGCCATTTTGAATGAGGAACATGTCACTGATTGTAGCTGACCATACAAATGCCTAAGGGTAATGAGGGCTAAGGATGATGTTCATATTCCTAGGCTAAAACATAAATAATTTCTGTAATTCAGTTAGTAACATGAACCCTGTGTGACTTAGATTAGCAGGAGGAAGAGCAGGTCAAGAACAGGAAACTGGAGAGAGTGTTTAGAACCAAGGGAAATCAAACCATCTGGAAACTGCCTTATGATTATGTTGGCAACTCTCAGTATTTTATGTAGAAATGTTGGATTGAAACGCAGACATTTAATGTATTGTGCTCAAAGAAATATGGCTGCTTTCACTTCCCTACCCTGAACTCATGCAGTCTCAAGAGAGCTGAAAACATTCATGCCTCCCTAGCTGGGAATTGCCCATCCTAGAGGAGTCTACAGCAAGAACAGAGCTGGTGTATTTAGCTCATGTATTGCTTCTGCGCTGAGGGGTATGCCTAGAATATGCCGCACTTTGGTTACCTCAGCTGATGGAAGATCTCTTGGGACCACTGGCAGCTGTCATAAGTTAACCTACACTGAGGCAGAGTTGAATACCCTGGGGGTCTTTAAGAAGAGGCTGGATGCCTACCTGGCTGGACTCGTTTGAGTCCTGTTTCTCTTTTTGGGGTTTTTTGTTGTTCTCCCGCCCTGGCGGGGGGTCGGGCTAGAAGATCTACTAGGTCCCTTCCGACCCTTAATCTATGAATCTATGAATCTATGAATTGAGAATCAGGGAGCTGCAGCTGACTCCCTATAAAGTCCTTCTCTCTGGGCTGCACTAAGTGAATTTTGGCATTAGCCCAAAGTCTGCCTCTGAGCAGAATCTCTGTTTTCAAAATATATACCAAATAGTGCGCCTTTATACCAAAAAGCTAAAACACTTTTAAGAACTGAAGAGGTTGGAATTGCTAATGTTGCTGTACCATGCTAATGCATGTATTCCTAATATGATTACATAGGATTGTTCCAATAATGCAGTGTTGAATCCATTCTTTTCACATGTAACCTCTTGTACAGTGTATCGTGCTTGGTATACCAGACAGAGCTTGTGAAAATAATATACACACTCTCTCTTATTCCTCTGCCACCTGTTTATCTTCAGTGTTATTAAAAATCATATTGAATTATATTAACTGAAAAATAAAATGTGGAACTTTAATTAAAGACTTTCCTTCCTAATATACACATATACATACAGATACATGCATAGTTAAATGACACTGTTCTATAATTGCTTAACATTGCTATGTTGAAATTTTTGTTTTGTTCTTTTCTTTTTCGTTGGTGTTTCCTAAGAATTTTTTGAGGAAGAAAAAGAGAAATTAATACCTATTATCTGGACCCCCATAAAAGCAAGATCTTACAAAAATATGCACTGATTTTTTTAAATGCAAGTTAAGTTCAGAGTGCTTAATTATGTAAGACCAACTGAGAAGACATTTTTAGTATGCAGAAGATCCTTTCGCATCTACGCTTTGCTTAGCTAATCTCCAATGGTCTTTCCCTCCTCCTCATAAATAGCACTGTAAAGCAAAAGCCAATTAGTATAATTCCTGATTTTACAAACTAACCCCATCCTCATTAAAAAATTGGGCGACTGTGGCATTGATGCCTACACAGTCAGATGGATTGCAGATTGGCTGAGGGGTCGCACTCAGAGGGTGGTGGTAGATGGGTCATATTCGACCTGGGGAGAAGTGGGCAGCGGAGTCTCCCAGGGCTCGGTCTTTGGGCCTGTGCTGTTCAATCTCTTTATCAGCGATTGGGACGACGGGGTGAAAAGCAACCTGTTTAAATTCGCTGATGATACCAAAATATGGGGTGAGGTGAGCACGCTAGCAGGGAGGGAAAGACTGCAGCAAGACTTGGATAGGTCACAGGGGTGGGCTAACAAAAACAGGATGCGCTTCAACACTGACAAGTGCAGGGTGCTGCACCTGGGCAGTAGTAACCAGCAGCACACTTATAAGATGGGACACTCCCTTCTTGAGAGCACGGAGGCAGAAAGAGATCTTGGAGTCATTATTGACTCCAAGATGAACATGGGCTGACAATGCAAGGTCACGGTTGGAAGGGCTAACCACACCTTGTCGTGCATCCACAGGTGCATCTCTAGCAGGGCCAAGGAGGTGATCCTCCCCCTCTATGCAACACTGGTCAGACCACAGCTGGAGTACTGTGTCCAGTTCTGTGCACCCCATTTCAGGAGGGATGTGGACAACATTGAGAGGGTCCAGAGGAGGGCTGCCTGCATGATCCGGGGACTACAGGGCAGACCCTACAGTGGGAGACTGAGGGACCTGAACCTGTTCAGCCTTCACAAGAGAAGGCTGAGGGGGGACCTGGTGACAGTCTATAAACTCACTAGGGGGGACCAGAAGGGTCTGGGAGAGACCTTGTTTCCCCTAGCGCCCCCTGGCATAACAAGGAATAATGGCCACAAGTTGTTGGAGAAGTAGGTTTAGATTAGACATCTGCAAGAACTACTTCACAGTTAGGGCGGCTAGGATCTGGAACCAACTTCCAAGGGAAGTGATCCTAGCTCCTACCCTGGGGGTCTTTAAGAGGAGGCTTGATGCCTACCTAGCTGGGATCATTTGAGCCCAGTTTTTTCTCCTGCCCAGGCAGGGGGTCAGACTTGAAGATCTACAAGGTCCCTTCTGACCCTACTTCTATGATTCTATGATTCTAATCTAGCTACACTCAAGGTAGAGTCCCTGAGTGACCTCCAGAAGAAGCATATTTGTCAGTACTGATGGACCAACTGTTAGGGTCACATCCTTAGAATTCATTATTTTGGTTATAAACTATGATAAAGTACAGGAGTTTTCAAACGTTTTTAATCAATGCACACCCCCCCCCAGGCCAGACACAGTGGGGTGGGGCATGCGGCTGAATGCAGGGGGGCGTGGGGTGTGGCAGAATGTGGGGCGGGGAGGGAGTGACACGTGGCTGAATGCAGGGGAGCAGGTGGCACACCACCAAATGCAGGGTAGGGACAGCGAGGGACGGCATATGAGCAGGCAGGAACAGAGTGCCACTGCCTCCCAGGACAGGGCAGGGAAGCTCACTGGGCTGGGGTGAGGGCAGCAGTGCCCCTCTGCGGGGCAAGGAAGCTCACCAGGCTAGTGGGTGGCAGCAGCAGCCACTGTGTGTGAGCTTCTCTGCCCTGCAGAGGGGTGCTGCTGCCTTCACCCCACCCTGACCCTGCTCCTGGGAGGCAGCAGTGCTCCGTCCTCACCCTGCCACAAACACCCCCTAGAACTATTCCAAGTACCCCCAGGGATATGTGTACCCCCAGTTGACAACCCCTGATATAGTAGTTCATCTGTTAATTCCTTATGTTGCATTATTTTAATTATTTGAAACTAAATAATTAGTAGCATTACTATTATGGTGGAGCCAAAAATCCAACTGAGAACCTGGTTCCAAAGACTAAAAGAGAGCCTTTCACTCAAACAGATTACAGTCTAAATCAGGGGTGGGCAAAGTACGGCCCACAGCCCAGATCCACCCTGCCAGGCAATTTCATCTGGCCCACGGATGGGTGCCTACCAATTCACTGTATCCGGCCTGGCCCCAGGCTGCCCCTTCTATGCTCACATAGGGCTGAGTCCTGCTCCCTTCTGTGGCAGCAGCACATGCTGTGCTTTCACCCTCTCCAATGGGACATCCCTGACACCAGCCCCACAGGTAGGTAAGCAGCAGCAGTTGTGGGGTGGAAGCGGTGTTGTCGTTCAGGCAGGTGGGAAGCAGCAGTGGGTGGGGGAGGTGGCAGCAGTGGATGGGGTAGAAGTGGCAATGAGTAGGAGGGAGGCGGGAAGTGGTGGCATGTGGGAGTGAAGCAGCAGCAAGAGTAAGACTTCATTTTGAACTATTATGCAAACACATGAATCAGGACAGAAATATTTTTTGAAATAAAATTAAAATATGTTAAAGTAGAGGTTTGATTTTTAGTATATAATTCATTTTTTTTCTGTTCCAAGTTGGCCAACCCCCCCTCTGAAAAGGAGTACTTCTGGGGCCAAAGGGAGGGACTTCCAGTAGCAAAGGTCAGGGGTTAGGGGTGGGGTTTCCAGTCCCAAGATGGCAACCAGGGTGTGGGACACCTGTCAAGGGGTGGGGCTACCCCTGCAGCCACCGACAGCTCACCAAATACTTGTTAAGTGGCCCTACAGCCAAAATAATTGCCCACCCCTGGTCTAAATAGACAAGACAAAAGAAGAGTAGGGGAAAGAGGATGGAAAGAGAACAGAGTTATGGTCAACATTTCAGTCTCTCTATAGGGAGAGATTCTGGATTCTGCAAAATACTTCACAAATACCTATTACAATAAAATGGCTCCTTCCAAAAGAATATGTGTATATCTGTGAGACATGATTCTTTTTAAGCATCTCATCAATGGATTCTGTGTGTGGAATACAGTGTTCAGCCATACACTAGCATGGTGTTATTTTTTTCTGTTGCTACATTCATCATCAAGAATCCCTTGCAGTCAAGAATGACTGTCTTCCATGATTGTTCTTTATCTATGGGTCTGAAGATGGCTGATGAGGCCAATCCAAGATCAACAGTCTGTATCAACTTGGGCACATGTTTCTGTGTGGGGTGGGTGACTCTTGTTTCAGTCTGTGGCGTGCTGTTTCTGCCACTCCTGCTTTTCCATATCCTGTTGTCATCATAAGGTTTCAAATAAAATTTTAGATACATTTCAAATGCATTTTTCCTGCAGCTGGTGAGCAGTGAAGATCTTGTCAGTTGTGCTTCTTGATGCCCTAAAAATAAACTGAGATTCCAGGAGGAGCTCTTCAGCAAGTGGGAGGAGATGGTTCAGGAGGTTCTCTCAATGATCTTTCCTGTGGTGGACAGTAAAGTGATCCCTTGGTAATTTCCACAGTCAGACTTGTCTCCTTTCTTTAAGACTGTCAAAATCACGGTGTCCCTGGGATTCCCTCATCATTCTGGATTCTTAAGATGAAACTGTGATGTGAGCTCCTATCCCCTCTGCTTGAAAATTTCAGCAGGGCTTCCATCTGTTCCAGCTGCAGCTGCTGTGTCGTTCTTCCCCTGCTTGATGGCTTTCCTCACCTTGTCAAGATTTAGAAGGATTCTGAGATTATCTCTGACTTGGTGCTGCAGGATGGCATTCAGGCCACATTTGTCAATAACAGAATCTTGCTTGAGAAGGTCTTCAAAATGCTCCTTCCAATGGGCATTAATGGCTCCCCTTTCCTTGATCAGGTCTCCTCTATTTTTAGTTCTCAAAGGGGTTGGTTGGCATCTGAGTGCTCAACACATAGATGGCTTTGGTGGCACTGAAAAATAGTGCATATCATGGATGTCAGCAAGATGTTGAATCTCCTTTTCCTTATGTTCCTACCATCCGTTCTTCATATCACAGATCCTCCTTTGGACCTCTCCCTTGACTTGTTGGTGATTCAATTTCTTTTTCTTGGAGTTATGTCATTCTGCCAAGCACCAAAGGCCTTCATTTGTAGTCAATCAACTCTTGGATCTCCCACTCCTTATCATCAAACCAATCTTGATGTTTCTTTATACAGAATTCAAGTTCTCTTTACAGGCACTCATGATAGTGGACTTGAAGGCACCCTGGCATTCTCCCATCCTTGTTGTTTGGAATTTGCCAGTTTTTCACTGAGGCACTGGTGAAAAAAGTCTCACTTGATTGGGTCCTTGAGTCCTTCAACATTGGTCTTTCATCAGCATTACTCCTGCTGCAGCCATAGTTTGGGAGCCAGTTTGAGTGATATAACTGAGTGGATGAGTTGGTGATCAGTCCAGCAATCATAGGCTCCTATCATAGCTCAATTGATGTGGACATCTTTGCAGTCCTGACACAAACAATGATATAGTCAGTTAAGTGCCAATGGTTAGATTGCAGGTGTTCCCATGATGTCTTTTGCTGGTTTTTCTGGCAGAACAGGGTGTTGGTGATGATGAGTTAATATTCTGCACATTTGGCTGGGAGAAATGCTTTGTCCAAGCCCTAGTGACCTTCTGTAACTGCTGTCATCATGCCAGTTCATGACTAAGAGCTTCCAGATGATCACAATCCTGCCTCTTTCATCACTAGCTGGTCCCCAAAGGGCTTGAAAAATGAGCTGGAAAAGCTGTTTTTCTTGGAAGATGCCTGTGTGTGATTTCTTTTATCATGAAGAAGCTGCTGCATTTCAGCTTCCACACACTTCTTGACAGAACAGGACCTTGATCCAATGGAAAAGAGGCTAAGACAATTGGACACCTCTTCCTGTTGCAGCCTTCATCTCCTTTTGCACCCCTTGAGACTTTTCTTCCTCCTGCTCGACCTGTACTCGCCATATCACTGCGCTGTCAAAGGATCTATGTGTCTTTTTCAGGAGGGAAAGCATTATTATCTGCTGCCCCCCACCACATCCTGGTGGTGTTGCCACTGCTTGGTCCATGACTGCTTATTCATCAGTTACGCCTACTTATTTTACAGCTACCCTTTCCTGAAGGTCATTCCACTATTTGCCACGTGTGGATGTACTGGATAGCAGTTCATTACACTACAGTGTTGCTATATTACAGCTTTTTTAAATATCTTTTTAGGGGTGCCCCATATGGTAGAACATAACCTTGTGTATATAGAACCTTCAACTCAAGACTGGCTGAAATGTGTGATGAGAAAACATACCTATCCCTACCTGGCTAAGGGGGTAAACCCCCACTGGTGGCTATTCACTCCCCTGGAGCCCAGCTCACCAAGCTGGGATCAGCTCTGTCCCACCCTTTCCCCAGCCTCCACCTCTGAGGAGTGGGGGGAAGAATGCACTGGCCCAGGCTGTCACTGACTCCCTGCAACCTGGCATGGTGGGAGGCTTGGAAGCCCCACTGGGGACCTTTCACTCCCCTGCATCCTGGCTTTTCACTCCCCTGCATTCTGGCTCACTGGTCTGGGATCAGCTCAGCCTGTGAGAGGTGGAGGGTAGAGGGGTGAATGCACTAGCCCAGCTGGACACTGGCCCCCCAGCTGGGGTCTGCCCAGTGTGGGGAGATGGGGGAAGCCCCCACTGGGGCCTTTTCACTCTCCTGCAACCTAGCTTGCCAGGCTGGCATGGGCTTATCCCTGCCTCCTCCCCACCTCTGAGAGGCGGGAGGGTGAGGAGGGAAATGCACCAGCCCGGCCTGGCACTGACCCGTGCCAGCCAAGATATGCCCAGCATGGGGCAGTGCAAGCTCCTACTGAAAGCCTTTCAGAACCCTGCAGCCTGGTGAGCCAGGTGGAGATCAGCTCCACCCCTTCCCAGGGAGGGGGCAGGAATGAGCCAATCCCAGCCTGGCTCACCAGGCTGCAGGCTTATGAAAAGCCTTCAGTGGGGGCTTGCACTGCTCCATGCCTGGTAAACCCTGGCTGGCGGGGGGAGGGGAAGGGAGGAAATTGGTGCTAGGCTGGGCCAATGTGTTCCCCTCTCCAGCCCACCCCCCACCTCTCAAAGGCAGGCAGGGCTGGGGAGCAGAGCTGAGCCCATGCCAGCCTGGTGAACCAGGCTGGGAAGTGAAAAGACCCCAGTGGGGGTTCCCCCCCCCGCACCAGGAAGACGCCAGCGAGGGGGGCAGTGTCTGGCAGGGCCAGTGCATTTGCTCCCATCCACCCAACGCTTTTCACAGGTGAGGGTTGGATCAGCTCAGCCCCACCCCTCCTCCTAGCCCAGTGAGCCGGGATGCAGGTGAGCAAAAAGCCCCCATTGGGGCTTTTCCCCTTCTGTGCCGGGCAGACCCACGCTTGGGGGGGCAGTACCTGGCTGGCCCAGTCCGTTTGCCCCCCACCCCCTGCCTGTCACACTGAGAGAGAACATCTGTACTTAGCCAGTGGGTTAGATCTGAGCTTCATTTGTCTTAATCTTTCATCAGAAGTCAAAGTTGATTTTATTCTTTTTAATACCTCCTATTTTGGGGCCACAAGGTAAAAATCCTGTCCTTTTATTATCTACTAAAGAGAAATGCAGTCTTTTTTACAAGGGCAAGGGTAGTTTTCAGTGATTCCATTTGGTTTGTCTTTTCAGATTTGAAAAACAAGTGGCATCTGGTGATTGACCGCCTCACAGTGCTCTTCTTGAAATTCCTGGAATATTTTCATAAGATGCAAGTTTTTGTATGGTGGCTTTTAGAACTTCACATTATCAAAATTGTTTCTTCTTACATCCTTTGGGTCACTGTGAAAGAGGCAAGTAAATGTGTTGTCAAAATCTCCTTCTTCTCTTGGGGCCTGTTGGCTGTGAAATACCATATCCAAACTTTGGATCAGATCTTGTCCCAACCTTTTACTAAGTGATAAACCTCACTTGGGTTGGGAACTCTGGCTGGACTTTTTAGCGGCTGACGCTTTGTTGGCAGTAAAAATCCTTGTTACCCAACAGTCCCCCAGAGCTCTCCCCCCCAAAATTAGGTATTAGTTTGTAGGGGTTTTTTTGTTTAACTGTTGAGAACCACAGTCATAATCCCTCTGCTTTTCTCCCTTCAGTCAGCAGTACCTTTACAAGTGAGTTAGAGAGACCAGAACAGAATCTTCAGAGGACTGTGTGATATGGTGTGGACAGTAACATAATTAGTGTGAGTTCCCTACCCCACAAAACAATCTCCTTGCTTTTCCTTCCACATGTATTCCTTGTTACTTAAAAACAGCAGAGCCAGGGGTTGTCCATTTGCATTTCAAACAGTATTTGGGGTGAGTATATTATGTTTAGGTTAAGAGAAATAATAAAAGTTAGACTTGTTTCCAAGCTAATTGACTATTTAGTTTCCCTTCAGTCATTAGCTGTTGTTATGTCTAAGTTGTATTGCATTTCCATCATTTCCCTCCAAGCTGATGCAAATATTTATTTCTTTTCTTAGAACTTATTTGTGGACCTTTGTTTTGAAGGATTTTTTGAATTATGCCATCTATAAAGTGTTCTAGGTATTAGGTGGCAAAAAGTCTTCTGGTCTTCTGGCTGCTATCAGTAACTTCTTTCTTCCATCTTTTTATCACCAGGTGTCTTTGTTTAACTTTGTATTTGTGATTGCCTGGGCTCTTGCTTTGCCATATGCTCAGCTTCGCCCATTGGCATCAAGTATCTGCACTGTTTGGACATGCGTGATTATCATCTGCAAAATGTTATACCAGCTCACATCTATTAATCCTGCCACCTTTTCCAGTAATTGCACAAGGGTGAGTAGTTGTGCTTACAAGAAAAGGTTTAATTGCTAAGGAATCACTTCATAGGTTTCCTTTTTCTCTGTCTTTTCATTGCAGAGTTTTCAACTGACATGTTTCTGCTGAGCTGTTGTGGTTCCTGCCCTCAGTAGCCTTGGAGAAAACAGAACTAAAAAAATAAAATCTTTTTTTTTTTATTTTAGCCTTGGGAAAATGAAACTAATGCAAAAAAAGAAGAGCTAAAATCATCAGTCCTCTACAGTGGGCCTGTTGATCCAGCGGAATGGGTTGGATTAAGAAAGTCTGATTCCCTGCTTGTATACTTGAGGGTAACCACTCTGTGATTTATTGTCTCTTACTGTTGATTGAACTGTCAGAAAATGTCATTCCACTGACTGTAATCTGCAGGGTAGGGAGAAGGATGGCTGTGAACAGTAGGGGGCAAATGTGCTATCATGGAGAATCTTTGCAGGGCTAAACTGGAAGAGTCCATACATGATTTGAGATATTCTGAATGTAGAATCAGCACTTTCTTGCTCTGCTACATATTAAACGCATGAAAAGGAATTTGATATACAAGATTTTTGAGAAGCAAAATATACATATATTTAGCTATAGAAGGTTTATGATAAATGGCTCCAAATGGTAGTACATTTCACAGGCAGGGTTTTTGTTGTTGTTGTTATTTTGTTTTTTAAAAAGAAAATTTTAGCCTTTAGCAAAAGTTTGATAATGGTAATTACATTAGAAAATAATCCTTGCTTTTGATATCAGTAATCCAGTGCTGGCATTTTAGTTTTTTGCTTGATGCAGATAATGTGTATTTTGTTACTCCTATGGGGATTAAACATTTCTTTAATGTATGATTCCCATCAGATTAAAGAATCTCTTAAATCCTTCACTTATGACTTAAAGTAGTTCACTTTTCTTAGGGAATGGGTGACAAAAACATAACTGAGTCAGAGAAAGCAGATTTTGACCAAAGTGTAGGTTTAAACATCACATTTTCCACAAGAGATTGTTTATATGGGTTCCATTTCTGGTGCAAGTGCATCTGTCGTCCAGGGGCATGACAGATGAGAATAGAGATCAAAATGCATCCAACAGTGGCTGTTGGTTGTTTTTTTGTCCCTTATGCTATCAAGTCATGCAAACCCAAAGCATAACACAAGCAAAGCAACCAACTGCTATTAATTTTTTCTCACTACCCTGCCTGAGAAAGAGAGCATGCTAACAGGGCTGGTTAGGTGTTTTCAGTTCTAGTAGGTTTACCTTTGTAAAAAGTTAATGGTTTAGAAGTAGCCTTGTATTGTCATAGGTAGGATTTTGACAGATTTAGTCATAGTTTGGAGATTTGTTTGGGGGTTTTTTTTCTCTAACATAGGATGATTTAGTCCTATGCTAATCCAACAAGCTTTTTCAGTAAATAGGTCTGTCATGCCCCTGGACGACAGTATCTTTTTTCCTTTGGCTGAGTAACACCTTAAAGAGCAAGTGTTCCTCACAAGAAAGGTTGAGAGAAGTCTAAATAGAAGTTTTAAAATTATTCCTTTTTAACAAATCAGTGAGAATCTTTGAGGAAAGTTGAGAGTGTCAAAATCTTTGGGCATTTACAGACATGGTCTGGGAATGGGGGGGCAGCACTTTAATTAGAACAGCTCCAGGAGCCACTCCAATTAGAGTGCCCGAAGCATCATGTGTATCAGTGTTCCTGCACTGAAAAATGGTGGCAGGGGTGCTTTACCTATAGCTCATTGAACCAGCTTTAGTTAAAGTGCCCTTACTGCCATTTTTCAGTGCAGGGATGCTGATACACGGGACACAGGTCTGCTGGAGCACAGTAATTACCACGCTCTAGGAGACTCGATTAATCAAGTTTGCTCTGACACATTGTAATTAGAGTGCATCAAAGCAGACTCTCTACACATTTATGGGTGCCCTTTGGTGCCTGAGTTTTTAATGCTGGTATCACCAACATCCCCTGTATTTATCCCTCATACTTTTAAATCACTGCAAATTACTTTGATGCTTAAGACAACAGTTACTACCTCATGGTCAGTAGGAGCCTATATAGCATCAAGAATTTGACCATTCCACTCCTAGCTGAGTCTCCTTTTTAGGCTTTTTCAGACCTACTAGTGGGATACCAAAGACTGCCTCAGCAAAGTTAGGCAGTGTTCTCTGATAGAGGAGTCAGTCTTTCAGTCTAAGAAGAAATTTCACTCTCCTGGTATGTGCCTCCATGGTGTCATTCCACATACCATTATTTATCTATTTATTCATTAGATTTACATGCTGCACTTCCCAACAAAGGCTCTGAGTTGCTTACAGTAAGGGGGGTGGGAAAACTTATAAATCAAGAGAATGTAAAAGAAAGTAAAACAAGAGAATAAAATAATATATAAAAGCAAGCAGGAAATTAAAATAAAATATTTCCCCCCATCACCCATCTTTTCCCCAGCTTTCCCTCACCACCACCAGTATCACATCTTGGACTTGCGTTCTAAACACCTGCCCAGACAGGAAAGTCTTATAGTGCTTCTGGGAGATGTCCAGGCTTGGACTCTGGCAGGCCTCAAGGTGGGGAGGGAGCCCTAGAACTGAAGGGCAACTGCTAAGAACAACCTAACAATGCATTTTCACCAAGCAAATTTGATGCATTGAAGGTACCTGAAGAAGGTTGGCCAAAGCTTCCAGCCTTACTGGCTCCTTTGGTTTCTTCAGCACTCTAAACATTTTTCCCCATCTTCTTTAAAGGCTAGATGGTTTTCTCTGCTGCTCCAGAGCAACAATAACTTAAGCACATTATGCAGCCTTTTGATAGAGACTTTTTTACGTCAGTTAATTCACCAGTTTATGTTTCAGCATAAGTATATACCAGCTCATATATCATTTTCATCATTGAAAAAATCTATGACACCTTTTTTTTTCTCCAACAAAAGAATTTAGTCATTCCAAGAATTCCAGATCCACCATCTTATACAGAGAGGTGATTTGTCTGTAGTACTGTTATATGCTGCATAACCTAACAATATCTGCAGTTCATCTTCCAGATCTTCAAAATACACTGCCAATATGTGTCACAAAACCCTGAATAGAGTGTTAGCAAGTTTAAATTCCACTTATGGTGTTTCCACAAAGGCCTGTTTGGAATGAAGCACAAAAAGAAAAGCAAGACATTCTGCTTGAGAACTTGGACTTTGTCCCTTTCTAAGGGAAATAACTTCCTAATTCCACAGATTTATGGCCTATTTTATGTACATTGGAAAATATACATAAAATGGGCCATAAGTGCCTTTGGTTCCCTGGGCATTAAAGAAGCCCTCGTCATTCTGAGACTCCAACATAGCTAAAACAATGCCAGTGAACGAAATGGAAGAGCCTATTAGTCTTTCCTCCTATCACTCTAACTCTCTTGCCCCATAATATTGGCCAAAATGATAGGGTCATTCTTTACCCAGGCCTAACTTCATTATATCGTGGAAGGTGGAAGCAGTCTGGCATTAATAGGCTTAAAAAGAATTTGTTCCATGGGTGTACAAAATATTTTTGCTCAAAGCAGGAAACAAACTGCTAGAAGTACATATACTACAAAAAGGAAGGATTTTTCCGTGTTGTCATCTCAGCACAATTTATCCTTAGCAAGGGACTTTGATCCCAATATGCTAGAATATTTGCTATCTTTGAAAAACCTCTGAGCTGTCAAGAAAGCTCAGTGTGTGTTCATCTGGCAGCTATTTCATCCACCAGTTCCATTCACCTTTAGTTTTTAAAAGGGCTTAGATTTTTTTTTTACTTGAAACCAGAATCTCCTCCATCCTGGGATCCTGATGGACCCTCCCTTCAAAACATTATCTTCATGTTCACAATTCCATTCATCTATGAAGAAAATATTTTATGCAGCAGTAACTTCAGAGCAAAGAATTTGTGAATCACAGGCTCTTAGGTCTGGACCACCATTTATAGTTTTTAATGAGAACAAAGTAATGTTTAAACCATATCCTACATTTCTTCCAAATGTGGGCTCAGTTTTTCATTTAAATGCACTTATACATTTACCTAATTTTTCCAAAGCCTCATTCATCCAAGGGTGAAACAGCCTGAATATATCCTTCAGGCTCTAACTCTGTACTTGAATAGAATGAGACCATTCAGAATATCCCTTGGAGCTCTGCACTGCTGAAGATCAAATGGTTTAATCCCAAAGACCTTGTAAATGAGTGTTGGTTTATATTAAAGTAGTGTATGAGATAGCTAATTTAGAACTCCTTCGGGCATACCAGGACCTAGTGACCTCCTTCATTCATACATATTAGTTTATTGTTCAAACATCATTCACACACCTCATTAGGTAGGCCTGAGATACAGCTGCTGTTTGATTAGATGTATTATACCCTCATCCTTTATTCATGTATTGTCTGAGTCACCAGAAATGGAAGACATATAAACAAGGACTTGAAAAGAAAAGCAAGTTCTTACCTGCTGTTCTTACCTACAAAGAAACAGGGTATTCTGTTTTTTCCCATAGGCAAAATGCAAAACCTCTGAAAGTAGGACTATGAGAACAACACGCTTAGTCACAATATACCAGAAATCTGTAGTTCTTTTACAGATATTTATCAAACATTTCCATTATTCTCCTTGTGCAAATACATTAGCAACATTGCAGACTTTCAAGGGAAAACATCTCAGAACGTCTCACGTATTCAGTGAGAAATACTTTGTTTATCCTCATGGCCAGAGGGTATAAAGTTTCTTTGTAGTCATAGAAACAAATAAAAAAACCCCCTCTGAAGCACTTTACTGTACAAATGAGCTCCCCATTTAAAATAAACTCTTGAAAACTAGCAATAGATTGTTTAATCTCTACATTGAGCTCAGTGCTATGGAAGATACAGAATGGAGGGACTATACAGTCTGAAACAGAACGTGATAATACTTTCCCGCTTCTCTACAGGATAGGTCCCCTAGCTTTTTAAACAAAATGAGTATTTTTAAGCATTTTTAGGTGCAAATATTTGCTAAATTACAGTACATTGGGGTGTTCTTATTTTGTTTTAATTTCAGCTGTAATTGAAATAACTACATTTTTGTATCATAGGAGTCTGAAATGATGATAACCATTTAAAGATCTGGTGAAGTAAGCCCTCTGCTTATGAAAGTTTATGCTATACATCTCTGATTTAGTCTCTAAAGATGCAAATCTACCCTACCTTCTGCCTGACTTCAGACTAATATGGCTAATAATTTGTGCTTAAAATAAAAATAATAATAAAAAAGCCTTTCTAGACCCTCACGTTTTTTTAATTCTTCCTTAATCTTCTTTTCATTGCTTCTTTTGTAGAATAACTTACTGATGCTGGCTATTCTAGCCTTTGAAGTTACAATTTACCGGCATCAGGAGTATTACAGATGTCGAAATAATCTTACTGCACCTGTGACTAAAACCATTTTCCATGATATTACAAGAGTGCATTTGGATGATGGAATTTTAAACTGTGCCAAGTATTTTATAAATTACTTCTTCTACAAGTTTGGTTTGGAGGTAAATAATATATTCATTCTGCTAAGATAGTAATCTGTTATTTATTAGTTTTTTTTCTTGGAGACCGGCTTAGGAAGCTATGACAACTGAATGCTTCTCCATCCCTCACTTATACCAGGCCCTGGCACAGTCTCCATTATCTGACCACATCAGCTTTTTCTATCATTTTCCTTTTGTTCTGCCTTGCGGTGTTTTATTTGTTTCTCTTTTACTCCTTGTTTTTCATTGTTCTGTTCTATTTTAACTCATTGGGAGTTCTGCACTATTCAGGGAGGGATTGGCAAGGTGAATAGCAACAGATGTTATACATATAATTGAGCTGAGAGAAGAATCTGGGGCTGGCAGGCTGTTGGCTATGATGAAATACTTGTTAGCTACTCTTGCAATCAATGGCACTCAGGACTGCAGAAGTTGGGATGGAAGGCAGGTGGCTTTGAAAGCACCACATTACAGGAAACCCTCGCTATTCATGGGTACGGCATTTGCAGTTTCAAGTATTCGCGAATGCTGAACCTGCATTTTAAATACACGTATACACTTACTTACTTACAGGAGCTCCTTGAATGCAGTGCCCCCACAGGCTGCCAGGGGCACTGCATTCATGAACGCAGAGTGCATTCATGAATGCAGTGCCTTATTCATGGATTTCACCATTCATGGAGGATACGAAAACATATCCCCCATGAATGGCGAGGGTCACCTGTATTATTCTTATTGTTGCTGTTATTATTACTGTTAGGCCCCACCTACACATTACATTTAATCACATCTTAAATTGTCACCCAGCCACACCTTCAGTCAGTTATTGGTGTGATAAAAGATGGAATAAGCCACAAAGCTGTTCCTCAAACTATGTGGAATAACTTTGTAGCCCCTTACTATCATGCCAGTAGTTGAAAAGGTGGCCAGGGCCCCCTGTGGCTGAACTGGCACCCATTAAAGGGATGTGCGGGCAGCGAGACATAGCTCTGTCTCAGGGTCCTGGCCTTACACTGTCACCAACCTACAGTCCCACCCACCTGTCCCACTCCCAGATGCCACTTCCCACCTGTTTGCAGCCCCATCTATCCACCTGGCTGAGCGCACCCTGCCTGCGCAGGTCCTGGACTGGTCTCCATGGAGACCCTGCCTGCCCACTTCATCCAGCGCCCCCAACAGTGGGTGTGGGGTGGACAAACCAGGGTGCCCAGGCAGTGAGGCTGGGTTCAATGGTGGGGGTGGAGACTGGCAGTGGCCACAGGAAGGAACCACCACTTTGGGGGCTGCCAGGAAGCAAGTCCAGCCACCATGCTGTCTCAGCCCCACTGCACATCCAAGGACAGTGGGACTCATGTTGCCACACATGTCTGGGCTGAGCAGGGCCAAGGGATCATATTTTGCCTACCCCCAAGTTAACACATGTAAGTGTAGTGTGTAACAACTCCTAAAAATAATTAAACAGCAAAGCCACCTCAGAGCAATTTTTCTGGTTTGCCTATAGCCAGTATGATATTGTCTGAACAGTTTCTGAACACACTGTCTCTGGGCGCTTGTACACGTGAAAAAATTTACCCTTTCTTGTATTTCAACAGAGTTACAGTTTGTACTTGTGGGTTTTCCTGACATTTTAAAAGTCTTCTTGGAGTTTTAAAGTAAAACTCATCCCAACGTAGTTAGTGTGGGTCACCATGAATTAAAATGTGTCCATGGATTCATCATGTGCAAACAGAAATGCACTCAAAGATGTGTAATATACCCCTTTGTCCACCAGATAGCACTGCAAGTTTTGTGTAGTTCACCCCTTTGTCCATCAGATGTCGCTTTGAATTGCAGATAGGAGGTGAAGAGGTTAGCTGCTGTGTTTCAATAATTGGGTGTAATGTATTTCTTTGCGCACCAGGTATTGCATGCCTGATGCTGCAGTCCAGCCAGCCTGATATGAATCAATGTTTGTTCTCCTGTATCGACACCCCCTCCCCACCACTCACTCCTCAGCCATGCTCTGGCCAGAGTGACAATGGCATCGATGCCCGACCACATTAAAAGAAAAGAAGCCAGAAACGTTTTTTACATAATTAACCTTTACTGATTTATTAAGCATAACTTAAATAAATAACAAATCAACCATTACAGAATTTTCAAGGTAAACATTAGCAAGAAGTAGTACTCTTCAACTTTTTGAACCTCAGGCAAAATGCAACAAGTTTTATTACAAGGCCTTTTTTACAAGCACACAATAACCATAGGCATTGCTCATGCTTCAGTCAACAAACAGGCAATGACCACTAATTAGCAATACTTAGCTACTATCATTGCACATAAGTAACGCTGTTTTTTTATGTTTCTGATCTGTACTGCATTTTTCTCTCCCTTTCTCATGAATACCTCCTGCTGCATTGCCTGGCCAACACTCAGCCACAGACTCAATATGCGTGTCTTGCTATGTCCCACAACCACACTGTGCAGGTACTGATGATGCTGACAATCTTACCTGTCCAGGCATCTTATCTGTCCAGGCATCATTCTCAGGCTTCCTACGTGGTCTGCATTTTTTGACAGCAGAAGCATACCTAGTGAAGCTGAAAACCAAGGAAGGAATAAATGTGGGGGATTATTGTGTGCTCTGAGAATCAGACAAGCAGATAAGAAGTGTTCTGCAGAACCCACCAAGGAGTGCTTGCATGCCTGCCTGCCTTTCCAAGTTGTTGGACTGCAGGCCCTGAAGGGCTGCAAACAAGTCACTTGCAGAGCCTCTGTGCTTTGCATTGACCTTCACCTTCATGCACAACAATCAATTCCTCCCAACTGTCAGTTAGTTGTCAACTAAACTACGCCCCCTGCTGGCCCCATGTCTCATGCCAGTTAACTGCAGTCCCCCAACTTGTCCCCCTCACATCATGGCCCAACCTATTGTCAGTTCAGATGTCAGTTCCCCATAGATTTACATACCGGTTGTGGAGGACAATGGCCCTGGTCTCTCCTCTTGGGTGGACTCATCAAGGTCCAGTTCTAGTGAACTGCCGTTGTCTTCCTCTCTTGAGGCAGCAAGACTCTCAGTCGAACCCATGGTTGGTGAGCTCTCAGGAGTGGAGGATGGCCTGAATACCTCTATTCATCTCTTTGCTTGGTGTTCTGCTACTTCTATTATTGGTTGGAGGTACCAGTAGTGCAGCACATTATGCATGGGCATGACATTCTGATGAGCTCTTGCTACTCCATGTAGGAAAGCAGCACTCATATTCTTGGACTTCACCCTGCACTGAAATGCCATCTTGTGCCCCCGCTAGACACATCTCCTAAACCAGGCTCTTAGTTTTTTCATGGGACCAAGTGGTCCTCGTCTTACGCACCCTGGTAGCCTCTCTTTCCACCTGGCCTGCTGTCTTCCCTCCTCAGCCTCAGACATCTTGGATCAATAAGTGGTACCCGTACACAGGCCCCTGTGCCCTCAATTTATAGAGCTCTTGCTAAGCAGGTCAGGAAAAGTGCACTCCTTGACCCTCATTTTGGTGCAAAAGGTTTGTACAGCAGACAGACATGCTAGCACCATCCTGGCAACTTTGCTTCTTTTGTCCATACTTTTTTGGAAAAAGGGTGCCTAAAATCTGTGTAGGTAAAAATATGAGCCATAGGGTCTCTTTTTGCCATGGCACAGAAGAGGGCTAGCCACAAGTCACCCACGTGTCAAGGCAGTGGTCTCTGCTCACAGTCTCCATACCTGGTGAGGCAGCAAGTCAAGATATGAATGAATGAATGTTAACTATATGGCATGTCTACCCAAGGAAGGACAAGGAGGAATGCCCCTAAACTGTCCTAGAGGATAGTTTTAGGTTGGATGTAAGGAAGAATTTATTTGCTGTAAGGGAGACCAGAATCTGGAATACACTACCAAAGGTGGTTTTGTGATCCCCACCCTAGGATGTCTTCAATAGAACACTAGACAAATGCCTTCCTGGGATCATTTGATCTCAGCTGTGTTCCTGCCCTGAGTAGGATGCTTTAAAATGCATGATTTTTTCAGGTCCCTTCCAGCCCTTCCTTTCTATGAATGTATGTGATTCCTAACCCACTATTCATCAAGCATGTCAGCTGAACACTGTGAAGTGGTCTCACTCACACATTGTCCACCATGCTTGATGGGACCATGCATGACAGCAACCAGCATGCAAGCAAGGTCTGTGCTGGCTCTGTCAAGTCCAGGCACATCATAATTAGCAAGGGAACACTGGCTTCTGCCCACCCACCCTTGTGCCCATTACTCTAACAGTGGCACAAAATTAAGAACCACTGGCTTTGAGTGCTTTATTTTGCCCTTTGAAAAATCATGCGGTTCTCCAATTCCAAGACTGCATTCATCAGGGGAATACTTTTCCCTGTGTAAGCCACTGTTTTCCCCCTTTACTTTGACTGGGTAATACAGAGGCCAGACTTGAGGCTTCTGTCTGTGCAAATGCCACAGATGGGGCAGGTGTGATCATGGTTGGTCATGGGGGGGGCAGAAAGAAGAGTCAGGCAGGGGTCCCTGGCACCAGAGTCTGGGTCAATGGGTCAGAGGGTCTGGGGTAAAGGTTCTTATTCTCAGATCAACTCCCCAGAATCCCACATCATCGGTTGATGGCGACAGGCAATTATGTGCAGGATGTTCACAGGCACCAGTGAAAACTGCTACTGTTGCATGTAACAGTAGTTGTGGTAGTCATGGGGGACCTGAATTTCCCAGACATCTGCTGGGATGAGCAGTCGGCCAGGTCCGAGCGCTCACGCAGGTTTTTGGAGAGAGTCCAGGACCTTCATCTAACCCAGGAGGTGCACAGCCACACCGGGGGGATGCCTTGTTGGACTTGGTGTTGGCCACAGGCGACGACCTGGTGAGGGGGCTGCGGGTGCTTGACCCCCTGGGCGACAGTGACCACTGCCTGCTAGAATTCACCATTCAGCGCAAGGTAGCAAAGGCAAGCAGTCAGGTGGTGGCCCTAGATTTTAGGAGGGCGAACTTCAACGAGCTAAGGAGAATAGTTGGA